AATACCCCACTAATTCTTTTCTTTCTTGAAACAGTCCAAAGGGTTTGTTGGGCTACAGTTAGAAGAAGGTAGTCTGAGCTATTTGGGGAAAGAACATTTTAAGCTCTCCCCTTCTAGTATTAATAAAGTTTCTGAAAATTCCAAGAAAAGATAGTTTCTAGTGTCATGAGATGGTAGACCACTGTAATTTTGAGTTTGTTTAATATGGCTGGCATTTGAAAAAAATAATAAATTACTTTGTTACGTTAACTCGTAAGATTTTAGTGATTCGCATTAGGTTGCTGGATTTATTATAAGGCCTAGTGTGTAAATCTAACTCCCATTAATTTTAAAAATGTTTATCAAGTGTCAGTCATGGTGCCTGAACCGGAGTTCAACAGCTGGATTCTCTGGTGGGCAATACTATTTATTTAATGATAGTAAATCAAACAAAAAAACGATACTGTATTTGACTCTTGCTATAAAAATTTAATAGAATCAGGAAAAAAAAGCTTAATATCACAAAGGCCATACAATCCATGGCAACCCACGAGATGGGACACATCTTCTATGTGACCTCACGAGTGTTTAATGTGTGTATGAAATACACATGTGAGTTTCTACATATGGGTATATGTGGAAGTAAGCTCACAAATCAATACCCTTCTCCTGATCAATTGTGGTGTTTAAATGTGGATTGTGTTCCTCTAAACTGACTTTGTAATCTACTGATGGGTCTCGGTTTAAACCTTGACAAACAGGATTACCTCAGAAATCCTTATCGTGAAGACAGAGGTTCCCTGCTTGCTTTACAGCCTTGATGAGTGGAAAGGCTAAACCAGGTTTCCTGCCTTCTGGCTGACAAGTCTCTGGCACATTCTCTTGTGTTATTTTCTTCTCAGAACTCACCATCTCCAGCTGGACTAATCCAGCTTTCTGTCTTGATTCTTATCTGTCCTTCTGCTAGGAAATGAAGTCCCTGACAACATCTTCTCTAAGCTGCTCCCAGATGTCTCTCTCCCCCCTGCAGAGTTTGGCATATAGTACATGCTCAATAAATGTATGTCTTTAGTAAGTGAAAGCTCTAAACTGGACCCTGCTTCCACTGAGTGTAGATTCAATTAAGCAGTGTGTGGAGCCATTGCTGAAGAATGAGGACATGCCTTTTAGAATAAGGAGACAGAATTCTGAAAAGGGATTTGACACAAGTTACCACAAAGCCAGAAGCAGACACTTTTGAGCTCTAGGTACCCCAGGATATATCTTCTCATAGTATTAACCTAAATATAATATGATTAGGCTGGGGCACCCTAGAATACTCCTTTCTCCCATTTTCTGGGTGCTGGGGCTCCATGTAGCAGAAACGGTATTATTTCTGCCAAGATACTCCATCAGCAACAGCAAAAGGAAAACATACTTCCAGTTTTGCTGAAAAGACAAAATTGCACTTATGTCTTCTAAATTATGATGAAATAAAATGGGAGATCAAATAGGTTCTGTGTTTGCAACCTGGCCAGAATCTAGCAGAGAGACGCAAAATCAAGTCAGTTTGTAAGTAAGCAGGGACCTCACTTAAGAGGGGTTTTTTGTTTGGTCAAATGTGAGCTAGAAAATTTTTAGAAATTAAACTCTTAAGAATTTATGTGACATCAAAAAACAAAGGGGAACTACAAAAAGGTTAGAGAGAATTTCTCACTTCAAGTTCCAGGGGAAGCTCAGAGTTCTGCAAAATAACCCGTTTCCAAAAGCTCACTGGCCACTTACTCCACCACCGGGACTGCTGGGCCCACTTGAGAATGCCTCAGCCTTGTCTGACATGAGGTTTAGGGGTTCCTTATGTACCCCTGGGGTTTTTTTTTCTATAACTAAAGCACGTGTAAGGTGTCCCCTGGCCATCCTGAGCCCTCAGCAAAAAGAAGAGTCCAAGCATGTGGAGGTGCCTGGCAGCGGAGACTGACTAAGAGGGGCATTTTCTCCTGGTTGTGAAGAGTGACCCTGGGTGGAAGCGGGTAGAGCTTGGGAGCAGTGTCCTTTCTGACTCCCTTGGAGCAAATCATGGGCAGAGGAGGCCCAAGCTGTGCAGGTTTTTATCTGGGTCCTCTAGACAAGAGTTTGCCAAAGTTTCTGTCTCTTTTAAAGTCGGGGAGAGGACATTTGGATTAAAGACACAAAAACATTAAGTGATGGAATTAAATGGACTCGAGAAGCGAGCCCCCATTTAATATCATCACCCCAGCATAAATGTTGCCCCTGCATTCCACTCACAATGCAAAACATCAGGGAACAGAACTCCCATGAGGGTTTGTTTCTGTTTAATGTATCGGGGGGGGTGGGGGGGGGGGGGGTGGGGGGGGGTGGTTGAGGTGCGGTGGGGGTGGGGCTCATGAAACATTAAAGCCCGAGCTAGGAGCGTTAATGAAGTTAACCTGGCGGAGCCAGGGAGCTTTGCCCAGAGTGCACCTGAAGGCACTTTGATTATGGCCTCGGCTTCAAAAGAAACCATTCCTGGTGTCTGGGCTCCGCTGCCCTGAGAAATAGAATCACACCTTTATATTCAGGCTAATTCCACCACCTTGCTGAGGGCTGAAGGCCTGCTAGAGAAGTAAGGGAGGGGTGATGGGGTGATGCTCCTTCCCATCCCACCCCTACACAGCACAACCCAAGTGGACAGAAGGCACTCAGAACAAGTGCTAAGAATGGAAGGTCTTAGCAATGCTATCCAGTTCAGAAAGAGAGGAGTCCTGCTAACAGTGAACTGATTCGGGTTGTGCAGATTTGCTTTAAACACCACACACACACACACACACACACACATCATACACACACTGCTACACACACACACAACACACACACCCATCATACACGCACCATACACACACACACACACACCACTACACACATCATACACATACCACACACACACACACACACACTCACATGCACACACTTCCTTTAGCTTTTTAATACTATTACTCCATCTCCCGTTTCCTTTGCTTTTGTAATGCTTCCGTTAATTTTCTCCTCTTTTCCTTCCCTCTGTGGCTGATTTCTGTCCTTAGCATTCCTTTCATTTCCTTTTGCACCCTTAAGACTTCAGCTTCCCTGTTCCTTGAGGTTTTCTTTTTGGGTCACAGCTGCCCCCTAATGGTTTCCAAGCCCATTACGGCTGTATGCTACAGGAGAGGAAGAGCGGCAGAGAGAGCTGGAGGGAGAAAGCTGGAGAAAAACATCAACAACACCTCTGCTCTCCACTTGGAATATACTCTCCATACCTATGGAATGTTCCAGTAACTTACAGCAATGGGCAAAATGCAGGGGGTGGGAGGGTGATGTTTTCATTAATTATCTTTTCATGCCATTTGAATTTATTTAAAAACATATGTGTCAAATATATTCTCTTTTGCAAATTTAGAAATGAAATAGAATCGTAGTATAGCATAGATACTGAAAAAGAGGTTGCCTCTGCCTAGGCTTTCCTGATTCTTGCAGAAAGCCAGCCTGTTCCAAGCCCCTCCCTGTCAGTGCACTCATCCGACACTAAGGGTTGATTGGCAGTTCAGTAAACTGTGTAGGAGTAAATATGAAGGAGGAGAGTGAGAACTAATGACTATGGTGGGTGTGAATTAACCCACCCCGGAGTACCCTCAATAGCGAAAGGTCAACCCCCTGTCTCCTGCCGTTCCATCATGACTTTCATGCTCAAATTAGCAGCTCTTGCCACCATAATGTAACAACCACCTGACATGTAGATGCCTAATTAAGGCACCAGAAGTCACAGGTTACAAATCTGAAAACAGCAATACCAAATAACAACACCACCAGAAAACTCTGTTACAGTTCTTTAAGGGGTTGATAGAGTGTGTCTGCATGCTAAAGGAAGAAAGGCAACATGCTCTCAGGGATGCAGAAGTCAAACTCCCAAGAAAATTAGCCTGAGAATTTAATAAGAGTGGGAGGACTTTTAGCTCCAAACAAGATTCCTGAAATAGATAGATAGATAGATAGATAGATAGATAGATAGATAGATATAAATTTGAGATTTTATATATATATATTTATATATTTATTTGCCACCATATTTGTTGTTGTTACATTATGGTGGCAAATATATATATATATATATATATATATATATATATAATCCTATATATATTTGAGATTGTAACTCTAACATCTCCAATCACATACACACTGTAAATTCACAAGGACATTCAACATTCAACTTTATAATGCTTGTGGAATACCCCCATTCATACATTACTGCATTAGGGATGAATATTAATTTCAGCCAATGAAATTGTTTTAAGTTCACAGTGAGAATAGGATTAGGAAAGAGTTGTGAACCAAATATCAAGCCAAGTAAGAGTAAAAGTCACTTAAACCAACCCCCCATTCAGTGGGTGACTAACAGACATCACAAGGACAGCCAGGTTCAAGATCTTCTCGGTCCCCAGGATTCAGCTGCCTTCCCTGCTCCCTGCGGGGTCTTCATGGGCTGGAGCTCCAGTCAGGAAGTCACGGAGTACTAGGATAACCCTGATTTCCCATGAATATTCTGGAATGCTCATTTAAGAAAGCTGAGCAAGGGCACATATTAGACAGTATGAGCTGTGTCTTTCTCTGGTCAAACAGACCCCTCCCTGCATTTTCAAGCTATGCCTTGGCAGCCAGAGCTTCCAGGGATGCTGAGATTTCCCCTTTGGCAAACAAGTGTGGGAGACTCAGAGTTGTAAGGATGTGGAGTTTGCTGGGTTTCCATGGCAAATGTCCAGCTCCAGATCAAAGGCTGCTCTGTCCAACATGGTAGGTGGTAAACACAAATCAAATGTAGATTAGTAGGATGAAATACAACCTATAGTCCAGTCCCTTGGTCATCCTAGCCACGATTCATATACAGAAAAGCAGAATAATGTATGACAAAACTTTATCTGGGGAGAGGCAACACACAGGTAGGTCTAATCACCCCAGACAGGGACCCCACAATAGAAAGGGACACAAAGTAAGGATACCACCAAAGTCCATCTTGGTGAACCAGTGAGTTTTATTGGGGTTACTTACAGGAATGTGGGTGAGGGATTACTTACAGGAGCAGAAATGACCCAAAGGCAGCTGCATCACCAAAGCCCACCCCAGCATGGGTGACAGCTCACAAAGCTGGGAGCCTGGAGCTCAGCGCACAGCCTGCAGGCCACTCAACAGGTTGGAGAGTGTCCCTTCCAAGTGACTCTGGTCTAAACCTCTCCCAGGAACACGATCTGATCTCAGAGTCTTCTTTGCAGCTCAGCTTCCTACTGCCTTAGGAAGACTCTCTCAGTACTTTGATTTACTCGGGCAGGGAGGGGCCTAGTGAATCTGCTCAGTTTCAGGAGCTTCCTGAGGTCATTTTGAGTTGTTTCCCTTCCATTTAAAGAACTTCCCTGCCAGGATGTTGTGATCTCAGAGGGAAGCCTTACACAACACTAGATAAAAAGCATAGGTTCTCCATCATGGTGGGTAGATGCTTTGGAAAATGTTCCTTTAAAGGAAAGGGTTGGTGGGCTGGGTCTTTTTGATGTTCCAAAGCTCCAAATGTATATAAATTATCATAGCAGAGGGACCCTTGCCTCTTGAGGAAGCCAAAGAGAGAGAAGGAGCTTCCCCTGCCAAGGGATGTTTGAATACATTTTGCATTTTGTTGTCGTTTTCTTATTCTTCTTTTTATTTACAAGGTTCCCTGTAAATCAGATTTAGGTCTATGACTGAGGAAGACAGACCAAGACACACACACACACACACACACACACACACACACACACACACACACACAATTTGGAATGGAGAAGATTTCAAGATTTCATGAAAATCTGCAAGGATTCTCGGAACCCACCAAATACAACATCAAAAAGAAACAAATAGGTGGTGTTCAGGTTGAGGAAAACAAATGATTGTTTTCAAAATAAGTGTGTTGAGTGTGTGTGTGTGTGTGTGTGTGTGTGTGTGTGTGTGTGTGTGTGTGCAGGGACGCAGGGCTGGGGGGGGGGTAGACACCTATTGATCAGAACCGGACTTCAACGTCAAACAAGAGAGAGAATACAAAATGAGCATCTATTACATTTTAACCCAAGGTTCGCTTCTGAGACAGCTGGAGCTAAACACTAACTGGGACCGAGCAGTAAATTACAGATTAAGATGCAATCATGCCTCCTATCTCTCCCTTTCAGGGTGAGAGCTTGTCGATGCGAGGCCTCCGATAAGGGAGCACCATGTGACAGGTGGTGTCTACTGTGGAATCAAGAAACTTCTGGAGCCTTCAGATCCTGTGTTCCCAGGAGGCAGAGCCCCGCGCCTGTCTGGTTTCCATGTCCCCACGTAGTCACGCATCTATGAGCAGTTAATACAATCTGATGAACACAAACCGAAAACCGCACCGGAAGAGGCTGCGAGCAGCAACCCATGGTCGTGTGGGGAAAAGGCTGAATCCAGCTCCACAAACCCACTAACTGGTCCTTTGAGCATGTTGCTGCAACTCTCCCCCTACCCCAGGTCACCTCTTAAGTGGATTCCAAGTAGTCTAGGCCCACTGCTTCTCAAAATCACAAGGTAAGGCCAGGACCCACACCATTTTGGCACTTTAGTGAATATGTTCTTGATGGGGATCTCCAGAAATCTGAAACATCAGACCCCATCTGAAAAGCATTCAAAGAGGAAGTATGAAGGGACTAATTCTTCAAATATCCTTCAATAGAAGACATATTGAAAGCTGTTCAGTAAATGGCATACATCAAAATTATTGTTTAATTGGCCTATGGGTCTTTGCAACAGAATCACCTAAAATGTGTGTGTGTGGGGGGGGGGGGGGGGGTCGGGGGGAACAATGCCCAGAAATCATTCCAGACCTAGGGAATCCCAGCTGCAGGAGGCTGGTGCCCAGGGACCTGGATTTTTAACACCTGCCTTCTGTGATTCTAATGTCCCTTGAGTTTAGGACTGTAAAGCTGGGGTTACCTTAACTTTCCACAGGGAGTAGCTGGGGACAGCTTTCTTTTAGCATCATCTAGAAATTTTCTTTATGTTCCCCCAACCCACTCCTCTCCATCAAAGGAATGCAGGATATAATTATCTATTAGTATTCCACAATTAAGGAAAATGATATGAACATCTCATCCCAGCTGAGCGAGAGATGTGGTCAGGAATCCCAGCTTCACTATTAGCTGTTTGGGGCCAGTGTAGTGTTTCTGTTCACAAAACCATTGTTTCAGAAAACTATCCAGGTCTTTTCATGAGCAAGAATCGGGGATGTGGACGCACACAGAGAAGTGTGGAACCTGGTTCTTCAACCACCTTTACCTCTGGTTAAAGCCAAACCCATGGCTGCAGACCCCTCCAATTCCATTCCAGATAAAAACAATGTAGATAGGCCCGAGCCAGCCACAGCCTGGAAACTTTCCCTAAAGCAGACCCCTTTGCCATGTGACACGCGTAGGACTTTAGGTTCTGCTCTGGAATCCTTGGAAGTCCTAGGTGAAAGCAATTCTAAGCCTTCCAGAGGTCAATGAGATACTGTTTAGAGTGGGCCGGAGGAGAATAGCCTGATTCTGAATTTTTCCTGCTCTGCTGAAACCCTTTGAGAAGGCAAGAGCTCGCCACCACGTGTAGAGGCCTTTGGTGGCATGGGCATTATTTATTGAGTGCTGCCCCCTAGAGGATTGAAAAAGACCTGGCCACTTGGAGTCCCCAGGGCTGGGAACCAAGGCTTCTCCCCAGGCCATCTGCAGAAAATGAGGCCTTCACTCCAGTGGACGGCAGTGAATGAAGTCTTGCCTGCAGAGGCACGGAGGCTCCCAGGAAGCAAGTTAGCGCCCCCTTTAGGACACGTCTGAAAAAAACAACGAAGATCCATAATGCCGGAAACAGGATCCAAGAACAGAGCACTGAAACTTCTAACTTCTCCCAGAACCCAGTGGAGAACCCTGAAAGAAGCCAGATGGGAGTCCTCAAGCCTGAGGCCCCCCGGCCAGCAGTCCAGGGCTGTCATCCTTACGGTTTCCCAATGGACTTTGGTTTTCTTTCTCCTGTCTTGTCCGTGCCCTTTAAACAAACCCTATTTGTTGTGTTCTCAGAACCCGGCTGTATGGAGGTCTAGTGCGAGCTGGAATGGTTTGGTATGCCTGGAGAGCTGTGGGGGCGGTGACACTTAGTAACTCTTTCCTTGCAGACACCGTGAGTGCAGTTATTTACCCTTAGAACAGTATTTTGGCAGCAACACAAACTGGGATCTGTGCTTGAAGTCCAAAATCTAGACTTCTCCCTTCCTCCATCAAGTGTTTGGGACTTTACAACCGGACTTTAAACCAGGAAAACGTAAAGCTGGAGCTTTTAGTGATACGGATTTTCTCTTGAGCCTAGAAAAGCAAACAGGGAAGGGAAAGGGAGAAGGAAGGGAATTAAAAGCGGCCCGTGGGGGGGGGGGGGTGCTTTCTGGCAGAACTCAAGAGGCCTCTGACACCTACCCTTTGCAGTCAGGCATCTAAGATTAACCATGTGGTACTCGGCCTGTGGACTTCCCCTGTAAAATCCCCTCTGGCATCATTCAACTAGTTGCAAATCACTTCTGATTCAATTTTGTTTGGGTTTATCTCCGTGTAAACAACAGTTAAGTGAGAGTTACAGATTTTTCAAACACCGAATGTGATCAACAAAGCTAATGGCAAGTCCAGATAAGGACAGAAACCACCCAGAAGAATCCTCAAGTCCAAGCCAGGGAGAAAATGGTATCGTCAGATGTGTGTGTTCCTTGTCACCCAAACTTTCTATTCCTTAATCTGCAGGCTGCTAAGAACGGGATCGCACTGTTAGCCAGGCGTGTTCTGTTGAATCTTGATCATGGTAAAGAATGATGCCCGGTGAACATGATGGGGATCACCAAGCCACCCTCAGAAACAAAGACCCAAGTGTTCCCCCAACTGTTAGCTTATAAGCACCTTTAGACAGTTTTCATGCCTCCACTTAAAAATAGTTAACATAATGCTATTTTCTTTCTGTCAACACTGTGACCACATTTCCTTGGGGAAACATGAGCAGAAGTAGTTACAGTTGCATTCCAAGAGGCCTTCATGTACCTGTGCTGTGCGCAGAAGCTTGAAGGTGTGTTGGGTGGCCGGGGGAACAACTTAATTGCCTGGAGAAAATTCTTTATTGAATAAAATCGTTCTTCGTCTTAAGATGACTACAAGTTAAGGGGACAGGGGTAAGCAAATCCTTACCCAGATAGCAGAGGAGTCTGTTTGGGACCCAACAAAGGATCTGAGTAGTAAACACAAGGAGTATTGGGGGTTTGCCCTCAGCTAGGGCTGACGGTGTGTGTCGCCTCCACGCACGGCTGCCTCTGGGAACACATGGCTTGAGCCGCCGACTGTCTCCCTACCCCAAACACAGTCCGCCACCCAAACTCCTCCTGCAACGCCATTGCAGGTGGCATTGTGTCGGATTCTGCGTGTGTGGCACCCGAGTCTGGGAATTTAGGGGGGGACAAGCATTTCCCGAGCTCCGCGGAGTTTCCCTCCCGGCAGGGGCAGCGCGCCCCTAAAGGGAGGGCGCTCCTTCCTCGGGGTGTGACACACCCGCAGCCCCGCACCGAGGTGCGCAGGGCGGGAGGGAGGTGCGGGGCTGGCGGAGGGGCGGCGGGGTGCGAGGCACCTTAACTTGGATCGCGCGCGGCCGCGGGGTGGTGAGCCACCAGCGCCCCGCCCGAGCCGGGTGCCGCGGCCCTGGGCTCTGCGCCGCGCGCCTCCGCCGCTGCCTCTTTAATCAGGAACACAGAAGGGGCGGGCCCTGAGCCGGCGCGTAATCGGATCGCTCTGCCGCGGCTCTGACATCCACATGCTGCTCGGCCTGAAAAGGCGAGGGGGGAGCCGGAGGGGAGGCAGAGGAGGCGAGCGAGGCATCAGCCCGCAGCCCGCCCCCGGCACATCCTCAGAAGCGCAGACACTCGGCCGGCCGCTGGGCGAGGTGGAGGTGAGGGCGGGCGCCAGCGAACTCGGAGAGCCGCTCGCACACTCGCGGGCGATCCCAGCCGCCGCCGCCGCCGCCGCCGCCGCCGCCGCCGCCGCACCCGCAGCAGCACCAGCAGCAGCACCGGCAGCCGCCGCTTCCTGCCTCGCGCTCCCCTCGAGAGACTGGCCAAGCGGGTGTAGCCGCTGCCGCCGGGGGAGGCTCCCGCTGAGGGAACCCGGCGAGGACAAGAGCCCGGAGGCTGGCTGCCTCCCCCACTCCGCCTGTCCAGCGCTCGGTGTCTCTGCCCGCGTGTGTGTCCCGGGTGCTGCCGGGGGGGGGGACCTGTGTCAGTTTGCGCCTCTGAGATCACACAGCTGCCTGGGGGCCGTGTAATGCCCAGGGCAAGTCTTGGCTTTGATTTTTATTAGTATTACTATTATTGTACGCTTGGCTTTCGGGAACCCCTCGTGATGTTGTAGGATAAAGGAAATGACACTTTGAGGAACTGGAGAGAACATAGACGCGTTTGGGTTTGAAGAGAAAACCGGTCCCCCGCTTACCCCAGCTTGCTCCCTCTTTGCTGATTCCAGAAGCTCTCTCCTAGTGAGGTGGGGATTCCAGCAAGAATTAAAGGTGAAGACAGACGGGCCATCAGGACCCAGGAGGGAAACGCTGGCCATTAGAGACCTTTCCAGAAGACACCACAAGGAAGAAAATTAGAGAGAGGAAAAACACAAAGACATAATTATACGAGATTCCACAAGCCTAGCCCTGGAGAAAGCCTCTCTTTCAAGAATGGATATGTTCCCTCTTACCTGGGTTTTCTTAGCTCTGTACTTTTCAGGACACAAAGTGAGAAGCCAACCAGGTAAGCCCCCTCAAAGTTTTTCTATTATTTTTACATGTTTCCCCCGCTTTAAAGGCGACTGCTAACGCAGAGAGGCCACGCAAAACCACTCAGGAGGAGGCTCCCTCAATACTCAATAATTTAAAGGGAGAACTCAGCCGACCCTCTTTACACCACCAGGGCTGCTAAACCCAACTTTTCTCTCTTGCTAGGAGTGTGTGTGTGTGTGTGTGTGTGTGTGTGTGTGTGTGTGTGTGTGTGTGTGTTTTGTAACAGAATTTGGCGGTGTTCAGATGTCACATATGGACTGAATCAAAGGTTTAAAAATACTACAAAGCCTTTGCATTACAGTTTTGGGGATTTTTTTTTTCCTGTCTTGAAGCAGAACACATCTCCCTTGAGTTTCTTCAACCTAGCCAGTGAAATATAAATCATTTGCATTCCCTCTACTTAGCTACATTGAGCAATGTTAGCTGAAGGGCTTGAGGGGGAAAAAAAGCAAGAGTCTAGCTTTGGTTTTCAGATGTGTGGATTCTTTGCAGAATGGGTGGGTACATCCCAGAATCCGAGGGCTGAAGAGCTAGTGGAGCAAGTTAGCTTTGCGGCTGAGATGGGCTTTCCCGTGGGCAGTTGGTAGACCCCACTCTATCCTGAATCCATGTGTTTTCTGGGAAAGCAAATCATGTTCTTTAAAAATGTACTAAAAAGATAAAAGAAACTGCATGCCCCTGGAAGGTCTCTCAGTCTTGTGAAGTGGTTAGAAACTTTTGAGTGGAATTTAGTCTCAAGCACTGCCCAAAAGGGTGTGTGGACACAGGCTGTAGAGAGAAGTAAGCACAGTGGGGCCTAGGATAGTCCAGGGCCGGCCTTTGTGGAGTGCGGCAAGGGATACCTCCCTGAAAACAGGTCTCTGGTCTCAGGGAATGCGGTTCTTCCTCCCTGGAATTGCTTCAGGGTGTGTGTGTGTGTGTTGGGAGGGGATGCTTTTCTCCGCTCTCAGGCAGTGTCTGGAACCTGATGAAACTCTTAGCAGTGCTGCTACAGGTGATTGTGAATGGGATTCCATCTACCAAGGAAATGGTGAGGGGAGGGAGGGAGGAAGGTAAAGACAAAAACTCAGAGAAGTGCTTTTACCTCGAGGCGCTTGGGAGGTGACAGCCAGCCGCAGTGAAGGGACTCGCTCCCTCCAGCCACCCTGGCATCCCCGCACCGTGCTTAGCCGGTCCTGAGGAGAACGCTTAGTGTCTGCCAAGCTTCTTGTCCCTTCCCCAACACACACCTACAGCCACTCGTGTGGGAGATATATGAGTTTTATTTCTGCTATCTTTTGAGGGTTTGCGGGGGGAAGCGGGGGATGCCTTTGAGACTCAAATCCAAGCCTTTCCAGCTCCTTCTCTGCGGTAACTGGTAAAGGCAGCTGTAAGCATGAGCTAAAGGATGGGTGCAGGTCCGTCCTGGGGAAATTTTCTGGGCCTCGCATTCGGTCTTGCCTTAATTCTGAATTCCCAGCTTGAATTGAAATTAAATTACCTCCCACGAACCTGAATGCTGCGTAAATTATGTATGTGTGTGGTTTGCTGGGTATGTGTATATATGTCTGTGCGTGCGCGCGCACACACGCGCGCTCCTTGAGAATGCCCACGGTATATTATGTATTCAGGAGCGGACTCCGGTAGGCCCGGGTGCGCGAGTGCGCGCCCACGGGCACACACACCACGCATACAACTTCAGGCTCCCTGTGATGTGCGGAGCGAAAGGGACTGTGAAGACTCGGGGACCATCTCCTATCCCAGATGTTCGCACATCTGTCCCTGAGCGCCGCGTGGAGTATGTGTACGTTCCTGTGTGTGTGTGTGTGTACGACACCCGCTCGGACCCACTCCTGCTCTGCCACCTGCCTCCCGCGCTCTCTGCAGAGCCCCCTCCCATCCCAATCCCTGGTCTCGCTGCGTCACTTCCAGTGTAGAAGCTCTAAAGCGCGGAGTGCGAAGCAGGTCACCCACTAAGCCGGCGGGCAATCTCGGACCCGGGGGTGGGACCCGCCCAGAGTAGATATTATCCGAGTCCCCGAAAAGGCGATCGATCGCCGGTCACGGTTTCAATCGAGCAACGGATTGGTACCCAGAGACTTAGCCCGGGTGGCTAAGGGCGAGGCCAAGCTAGACCTCTGACTCACCCTATGTGCGCCCGCCAGGAGGTGGGTTGGTCCCGGCACTACGGCGGCAGCGGGAACCTATTCCGAGAAGGAAGCCAGGGAAGAAGGTGGCGGGCACACGTGTGGGGGGGGGGGGGCAACTGAGCAAATACCCGGACGGTCCCTGGCCGCTGGAAGGCGATGTGGGCACCGTGCATCCGGCTCCCAGGCGCGTAGCCTCCCGCCCGGGGCTGGCGAACTCTGGGCAGCTGGGCTGTGCCAGCTCGGAGCGCCCCCTCCTGCCCCCCACGCTGCACTAGGCTCTGCAAGCTCGCCGCAGCCCCTGGAGAACCGGCTGGCAGAGAGGCTGGGGGCCTGAGGCGCGAAGGATCCCCGCGCTAACCCAGGCTAGGGAGGCAGGAAGCCCGGATGGGATTGCAGCACCGAGGGCGGAGAGAGGCGGGAAGCAGCTAGGCAGCCTAAGCCGCAGGAATGCGCGCCGCTTGCCCAGCCTGCGGGAGCACAGTGCGGCTAGCGTCCGCCTGAGCGCAGGAACAGGTGAAGAGCACGCGGCGCGGGCATCCACGTGGCCGAGACGTGGGCGCCCCCCAGCGCTCCCACCCACCCCCATCCCCATCCCCATCCCCCCAGAGCGGTCCCTACCGCCGCATCGATTTGTTTGGGCTACGCAGCAGAAACAGAGCCAAGCAATCCATAAACATTCTATTAGGCAAAAAAATATTCCCAGCAAAAGCAGAACCAAGGCTACAGCCTCCACTAAATCGGCCGCCTAGGACTTCTCCAGGCCGGTCCCCTCCTCCTCCTCCGGAGTTAGGACACCCCCGGGTAGAAGCCTGCGGCATTTCCCTGATGCTGCCCAATGCCAGAAAGTTAGGTCGTGGCTGCTGCTGTCCTCCAGAGCAACCACTGCAGTTACCTGCTGGCGGGTTGCACGCCTCCCCCCTTCCCTTTCCTGGCAGCCCGTGTCCACGTGGGGGGGGGGGGGAAATACAGTGTTCACGACCGATGCTTTAGTTTCCCTGATTGATTTCTTTTTAATATCAACACAAGTTAATGGAGGCGAGACGCGCTGTGATTAAACGGCTGCCCCCACCCTTCGCCTCGGACTGGCGGCCGCGTCGCTAGTGTGTCCCACCGGCCCCTAGGGCAGCATCAGGGTGGAGGGCACAAGTCGACCGACTGTCCTAAGGTGGGCGTTGCGTGTGTGAGGGGGCGTGGGACGGATTGAGCGACACTCTGGACATCTCCGGGGGCTGGGAGCGGGGGTGCGCAGTGGAATCAGCTTTCCAGATCTCTTAACCGATCCTCCCACCCCTGCCGCAGCTTCTGCGGCTCCGGTTGAATTTCTTCTGGAAGGGAAGGGAGTGGACGCTCGGGTTTATTGGCGTGGACTCCCTGCTCAGCTCGCTCCCTCTGCCTCCTTTCTTTTCAGTTTCTGACAGAGAGGAGAGCCCCCTGGCGCTAGCCGTATCCAGCAGCGCCGGGCCAGTAAACTGCTGTGTTAGAAAGGATCCGCTGGGGCTTGCGTTCTACCCAGGAAATCGCTCGGTTCCTGCCGTGGGTTTTTCAGAAGGTGGCAACTCCCAGGCTTACTGTCTACGCCCCCTCCTCCCCCAGCCCCACGAGACCCATGGCTTGGGGCCAAAAGAAGCCAGACCCCCATAACCATCTCCCCCTTCCTTCTTACTCCAGGAGAGCTTTGATCTGTGGTGGCCTTTAACACCATTGCCATGGACACGGACTGACTCGGTCAATTCAACCTTCAGTCTGAGCTGGGTGATCAGATAAGAGGTGTAAATTGGCTGTGGGAGACAGGTCCGAGGTCAAACAAATCCACTAAGAGCAGCAGTGATAGTCCAAGGACTTGATATGGGGTTTGATGAGTATTTCAGACTGTCTCTCCCAAAATGTTTCATGGCTGCGGATGGGTATAATCATTTACAAGTAAAACTGTAAACTCCCGGATTCCAAACAGACAGCCTACTCAGAGCTCTGGGGCCTGGTCTCCTGCCCTCAATAAGTAAGTGCCCGGTCACCTTTTCCCCAGAAGCTAGCACTGGAGGCGATGAGGCTGTAACCAGTTGCCAACTGAGAACACAGTATAAAACAGGAGAGCGCCCCACAGGGCTTTAGGCAAGCCCTTACTTGTCCAGGATGCACCAGGTAGAAGAGCGAGTGCCCAGCAGCGCCTCCAGTGTGGGGTTTTATGTCATCCCACGGAGCCCTCAAAGCACTCGACTGGCAAAGTGTGAGATTGGAAAGCTGCAGGGACTGGAGGCTGGGCTCTCCCGACAGGACCCCTGCGGTCTACCAAATGGCTCCAGCCCCCTGCTGTTCAATGGATGGGCATTCTTCAGGTTCCACCAGAAAGGTCTAGGAAAAGTGGAGAGTGCAAAGACCAGTTCCTACGCAATGAGGCGTGAGTGCAAGCAACAGTTATTGAGGAGGGGGAGGGGGCGGGGAGGAAGAAGCTGAGGTGTTTTCCATCTCGTTCAACTCTTCATTCAAGCAATTAAAAGAGTGAACTGACCAAGTGTGGGACATTTCTGAGTTGACAGAATCCCAGAGCCAGGCTCACTGGCAGTTTTCAGAACATGTTCCCCAAAGATCCAGTTTGGAAAGATAGGAAGGTGGGATTGTTTCCTTTGTAGAAAGCACGAAGCATGCTAAGTAAAATGGATGGGCATTGTCTCCGATTGGCCCTTTCAGCAGCCAGCAGATGAGACCAAATCCAATTGGAAGCCCTCGTGCTAAGTCCTGGCCATGTTTCCAACTGAACTCTGAACTGGGCCGATTTAAAAATAAAAACAAAACGGCAGAGTCCCAGCCACCAATGAGAAGGAGGCTTTGTTATCTGAATCAGTTG